GGGAGGCTGAGACAGGATCGCTGGGCTACAAAGTGAGTTCGAGGCCAGCTCGAACTACATATCAAGACCCTGTCTCAAAACAAACGAACAAAAATAGGAACGCAACTACCCGCCCCCGACTCCGGCGGTACGGGGGAGTGAACCCAGCGGTTCTGCTCTGAGCTACATCCCCAGCCCTCTTATTTGACTTTACTATTTTTTGAGATAGGGTCTCACCAAATTGAAGTTGCCCAGGCGGGGAGACCTTCCATCCTCCCCGCCCCCGTGTCCTAAGTAGGTAGCTCTAGGCGCGGGGAAGTGTTCCAGCCGCTAACCGCGAGGGGAGCCGGGGGGGGCGGGTTCTGCACCCACACCCACACTTCCGTCGAAGTCGCCTGCCCCGAGGACCCAGCCCTGCTTCCGCCTAGGAACAGGCTCAGTCTCTCTTGTGTGACCCCAGAGTTTAACTGAAACCCCTCTAACCAACGTTACCACCCTTTTCAGGGAAAAAATGGCAGCAACCAACAGAAGGGGAAAGATAACGAATTTTACAGGGAAGCTATTTTCTCGATCATAAAATCCACATTTAGAGTCAGAACGTGGATGACAAAACCTCCCTGCGAGCTCTATGGATGGGAAGGGCTGTAGCTTAATCTCACCTTTCGGCCTCTCCCCAGCCTCTCCCAGATGCAGTCATTTCTTTTGGAGAACAGGAAAAAAAATTCTTTATTTTAAACAGCTGTAAAATTTCCCCAGTACTACTTATTGCCCGTAACACCAGCACTCTGGAGAGGGTGAGGCAGGAGGATCAAAAGTCCTAGGCCTAGTGTGGTGGGTTTGCCCATAATCCTAGCACTCTGGGAGGCTGAGGCAGGAGGATCAATCCAAGTTCAAGACCAGCCTGGGCTATAAAGTAAGCTCAAGGCCAGCCTGAACCGCATAGCAAGACCCTGTCTCAAAAACAAAAAAGCAAACAAACAAACAAAAAAAACAAGAAAAGGGGCCAGGGATATGGCTCTGTGGCACAGTGCCTGCCTGGCAAGTGCAAGGTTCTGAGTTTGATTCCTGGTACCAAACAAAAATAAAAATAAAAGAGAACTTACTCAAAACAACATCAACAAAAAAGAAATTCAAGCCCAGTCTCAGCAACTTAGCAACTTAGTGAGACGCTGTCAAAATAAAAAATAAATAAAGGGCTGGGAATGTGGCTCTGCAAAGGCTCTAGGTTCAATCCCTAGTATTGAAAAAAGAAAAGCTATAATCCCTTTAACTTAATTTAAACATTTGAAGTGAATTTATACCATTAAAGTAAAGAAAAACACAGGCTGTATGAAGACACTGGCTCTTAGAAACCGAGTCATGACTCCCAGGGAGCTAGCACTGTAGACGGCAGAGCCAGGGAGGGAGACTGCAGGTCAGACACGGCAGGACCGAGAGGGAGGTCAGTGCAGGAGACAGCTGGGCGGAGGCGCACTCACTGAAGGGGCTTCAGGAAAAAGAGGGAGGACTACATCCACCCACTCCCCGCGGGACGGACAGCGGTGACGGACATTCCAGACAGACATCTGCACCTTAGCTGGGGACAGACTTAGTGGGGAACTAGCCCACCCCTTCCAGCAAAGTCCTTGTCTGCCCGGCGCTTGCCGGGGTGGGACCTGTTTCCCCCCTGGAGCCCGGCTTCATCAGTATCACCTAAGCGACCGTACTTGTAATCTTATTGGTTCGCCGTAGTTTTGTCCCATTTCACACCCACCTTGTGATTTCCCATTTGATCACTATTACCTAAGCGACTGTACTTATAATCTTATGGACTATAGTTCCGTCCCACCTTGAACCTGCCCGACCTTGCGGCTTTGCTGAATAAAACACCCTTGAGAAGTGGGGTCCCACCTTCCAGGGCCCACTTCTGTCCCCCTTAGCTTTCTCTCAATAAATTCACCTCCGTTGTTCCTAGAACTCATTCCTTAATTTTAGAGAACCCGACAGAAAAGCCAAACTGATTCCAGCAAGGAGCTTGAAGAACAAAACCAGCAAGCGGCAGCCCACGGTTAGAAGGCAGACGCGCGTTGGCCGCCGGAGAAAGGCAGCCTTTTTAAAGCAGGGAGAACTGGGTCATTCGTGTTTTGGTGGAGGGGCGGTCTTCCTTCCACTTACCTGAAGAGGTGACGAAGAGCTGGCCCGGCTGCAGCAACCTGTCCCAACCCACATTCCTTCCTCTTCTCCCAAACAAAGGCTCCACTCAGGTCCCCACCCCGCTGAATCACGCTGCAGGCCCAGCGTCTCTCAGCGCCCTCCCCACACCTGGAGCCCCGTGGGGCAGCCGAGCCCGGGCCCTGAGATGCTCACACAGTGCCTGTGTGCATTTCAAAACCAGGCTTGAGCCGGGCGTGGTGGCGCACACCTGTAACCCCAGCACTTGGGAGGCTGAGGATCGTTGTGAGTTCGAGGCCAGCCTGGGCTACAAAGTGAGATGAGATGCTGTCTAAAAAAGACAAAAAAAAAAAAAAGGCGAGGCACCTCCTACGGCTTGGAGACCCGTTCTTACCTGGTCCCAGCTATCAGTTATTCAAGTCACTCGGGATTGTTTTAGGATTTATCTTATTTTAAAAAATGATCAAACAAACAAACAAAAGACGCCTAGTTAAAAAAAAGATCAAAAACGAAACCAAAACCAAAACCAAAACCAAACCCAAAATCCTTGGGGCGGGGGATTTAGCTCAGCGGCACAGCTCCTGCCTGGCAAGCGCAAGGTCGAGTTCGATTCCTGGTACCGGAGAAAAACAAACAAAAAAAAGATCACTCGGGTCAAGTGTGCTGGTGCATGTGTAATCCCAGCTAGTTGGAAGGCTGAGATAAGTGCAAGGCCAGCCTGGAAAATTGAGTGAAATCTTGTCTCAAAATTAAAAATAGTAAAATTCGAAGTTGACTATTATATAAAAAAAAAAGTTTTAAAAAACAAAAAATGCCTAGTATTATTTTTATTGCCCCTAAACACATGGACCACAGCCCTGAAAAAGTAACTGAACAAATGAAATAGGACCCAGTACTTCTGAGGAACCAGTGCGCTGCAGAACGGCTCCAGGGAGGTGGGACAGCAGCCCACGGCGAGGCGTGGAGATCAGAGGTGAGGGTTTCAGTATATCAGGCTTCTCGCCAGCTTCGTGGCTTAGGCATTCCCTCTAGAGAGAAGTGGACAGCGGCCACCCAGCATGGCAAGTGCGAGAACGGGGTAAAGAACACAGCTGCTTCAGCCTGCCACCTGGCAGATGGTTCAAAGGTAGCTGTCAGGCAGCTCAGGTATTGACAGCCTTACCAATGCGATACTGAAGAGGCATCTGAACAATGACTTCTACACTTAGGGAGCAGTCAGTCTTTCCTTCAACGCTGGCCTTCCACAAACATTTTATCTTTTTTTTTTGTCTTTTTGAGACAGGGTCTCACTATGCGGTTTAGGCTGGCCTTGAACTCACAACGATCCTCCCGCCTCAGCCACTCAAAATCTGTGTCACTCAGGGTTTTACTAGAGAAACAGATATAACACAAGATACGCAAATGTATAGGAAATGACAAGACTGGCTTATGACGGTCGGCCACAGCGTTGGATGAGGAAGCGTGCAGAGGGTGTCTGCACACCGGAGACTGAAGGATTCAGTCCAGGGTCTGGAGCTCTCCAAAGCATTCCGTGCAAGTCCGTATCAGGAGGTCAACCGACCTGCGACGGCAGGCTGATGGTTCTACACCAGGAGGCTGAAGGATCCAAGGTGGAGGCCGAAGAGTCTGCGCTGGGATTACAGGCGTGTGCCGCTACGCCCAGCTTTATCTTTATTTTTTGTGGTACTTGGACTTCAACACAGGACCTTTGCACTGAGCTATACCCCTAGCCCTTTCCAAAGTTACAAGTTTTGAGACAGGGTCTTGTTAAGTCACTCATTTGACCAGGCTGGGCTTAAACTTGGTATCCTCCTTCCTCAGCCTCCCAGCACGCTGCGATTACAGGTGTGGACCGGCAGGCCCAGCTAGGAAGCACATTTTACACAGTGACAAGTCTTTTAACCTGTGCTACCTGGGCTTTTCTTCCCCAGGGTAGTGTTTGACTGGTAGAAACACTGAGGAAGGGAATGTGCTAAATAAACTACTGATGATAGCTGGGCGTGGTGGCACACACGCACTCAGGAGGCTGAGGCAGGAGCGCTGTGCGTTTGAGGCCAGTCTGGGCTACATAGTGAGTTCAAGCCCAGTCTGAAATACATAGTGAGACCTTGTCTCAAAAAAATGAAAAAACTTGATTATCTTTAGTATATACTTAAACTCAAGAGAAAAAAAGCCAAAAGTATTTAACATTTTATTCTGATATGTTCTATAAGGGGCCTTTAGTTAATTCTATCCTTCATATGTCATTTCCTTTCCTTTAGAGCAGTAAATGTGATTACTGAAATTCTCGAAAATATTGTATTTCTATTTTCCTCCCCCTGCTGGTGTAAGAGCAGAATAACACTGAGACTAATAATTCAAGATCACCTAAATGTTTGCCATGAACTTGAGCAAGTATACAGATGTAACAGCATTTCACATAAAAAATTAATTTCCGCTTTACCTTAATGTATCTGACACTTAAAAGCAATTAAAGCTGGGTGTGGCTGCACGTGCCTGTAATCTCAGAGCTCTGAGGAGGCTGAGGCAGGAGGATAGCTAGCAGTTCAGGCCAGTCTGAACTATACAGAGCAAGATCCCGTCTCAAAAACAAAAAAACACCAAAACAAACAAAATACCAAAACAGAAGAAAATAGTAATCAACTTGTTTCATAATATTCAGAATATTGTTTTTATATAAAGGGTAGCTGCCCTCCATTGTTTTTTCAAAATAATTACTTCAAAAGCTTCTGTGGTTTCTATACTTAAGATTAAAGGCCACAGAATGTACCCAAACTTCAATTTTCTTGTTTCCTTTGTTATCACTAATTTTTGCAACCACAAATCTTCTTCCAAACTTAAAGGCAAAAACTTCACTGTGAAACCTTTTCTTACGTTCTGTGTATGAAAACTAATTTATTAAACCTCTGTACCCAGAGGGGAACAGACCACGTAGTAAGCTTATGTATGAAGAGTGAAGTTACAAAAAGTGAAAGTGCTATTAAAGTTGATGCCTGTAAATCTTACAAAAATATCCCAAATGGGGTAAAGCTGCTCATCCCTGATTTTTCTCGCCTGGTTGTCGGAGTTGAGATATGAATTTGAAATGGATAGGTTTTTCTTTTAAAAAGTGATATATTAAACTTATATACAGGATAATTAGCAAAATGTAGAAAGGGAAAACAATGTACAAAAGACGATAAAAAACATCACTCTTGAGGGACACCCACAATCCAAAAATAGAGTAATCCTGAAACAACGCATCTTCACAGGGCCCCCGCCCCGCTGCTGTCACTGAGGAGGAGGCAGGGCGGCGGCGCGCTTCCACTCCCGCGGCGGCCTGAGGCCGGCACCGGGCGCGCAGGGGCGCTCGCTCCCCGCGCGTCACTCGGCCGCCTTCTTGCTCTTCTGCTGGCTGCGCGGCGAGTTCCTGAGCAGGCTCCGGAGGCGCAGGTACACGCCCGTGGACTCGGCCATGTTCTCGAACTCGAAGGGCGTGATGCCCTCGGCGAACCTGCTCATGTCCGGG